TCTGCCTCCCTAACACTACGATTAAAGGCATCCGCCTGCCTTTTGTAAGCATTAGACTTGAAATCAAAAGAGAGCTTGACTCTAGCAGCAGTAAAATTGTGTTTCTGGACGGGTCTTTCCATGGTATCCGTGAACAATGGCAGGTCGACTTCACAGACTTCTCACACACATTGCAATCCAAGGCATCTCTTCATCGGTTGTAGGACAGATGACGAGGGCCCAGGGTCCTCCTGCCTCACATGCCACAGTGCCTGGATTGGAATGGTAGGGATAAATGGGAATGTGTGTGCCACTTGGCTGTGATTTTTCCTAAAGATTTCAAACTGTGTTCAAATATGCACAGTGTAAAATTTACCACCTCAGCCATTCATAATCATAGAGCTCAGCGACATCATTCACAACGCCAAGCGACCATTGCCTGTCAATCAACAGAGTAACTATGGAAAACTCTGTATCCATTAAAGGAGTTCCCATTTTCCCATGGGAAAAATTCTTCTTTCTGTTACCATATCTTTGACTGTGGGGCTCCTATAAGTGGAGTCACACGGAGTTTATCTTCTGGTGACTGACCTTTAAGATTTTCCTATGTCATAGCGTGTACCAAAACTGTGTTCCTTTTTCAAGCAAAATGCTACTCCCCTGTGTATGAGGAGTGTGTGTGTGTGTGTGTGTGTGTGTGTGTGTGTGTGTGTGTTTACGGATCTATTTGCTTTGGGTGGACAAGTGGGCTGGTTGCATGCTTCTTCTGGTGTGAATAAAATTGCCATAGGTAGACAGACATCCACCTGAGACCTTGCTTTTAGGTCTCTAGGGCACCGACCACAGGGAGAATAGCTGTGTTGTGTGATCATTCTATGGTTCATGTTTTGAGGGACACTCCATGTTCTATTTTAAAATTGATCATAGACTCTTGTAAACTCACACATGTTCACAAGATGCCTATGGATTGCTCCGTATCTCCTTCCCCTCATTCCCACAAACTTTCCCTCCCCGATCCTAAGACTTGATAATTGGTCCTATCTGTCTCATGTGCTTTTTCCATTAATAAGCTTGGAGTATTTATCAGCCCAAACAGTTAAGTCTTAAAAGCTCAGCTCTTTAGTTCCTTAGTATGAGTGTTGGAGTATGTGTGTTTGTGTGCCTGTGTGTGTTGGAGTGTGTGTATATGTGTGTGTATGAGAGAGAAAGAGAGAGAGAGAGAGAGAGAGAGAAAGAGAGAGAGATTCTTGCTCTTAAGCTCTTCAGACAGGAATAGGCCCAACTGTTTTGTTCACATTTCCCCCAACCAAAGCTCAGTAACCTAATTACATGGACAGCTTCCACATGCCCAGGACAGAGAGTGGAGCAGGAGTTCTGTGTACAGGGCCATCCTAGAGGGCTGTGGGAGCTGAAAGGGAAACAGATCATACCTGGTACCTTGAAGGGCTTGTCTCCAGCTCTTCAAAGAAGTGACTTTTGGCAGTTTGCATTTTATGCAAAAATTGTCATTTGCAGTCACTCCCCTTTGTGGACTCTTAGATTGTTCTGGGTGAAAGAGGGGCACAGCCAAGGCCTGCCCAGGAAACCAGAGCAGTTCTTTTGATTAATGTGACCAGTTAAGCTAAACAAAGAGGTTGGCTATTACTGGGTAAAATCAGTCACTCCAGAGGCCCCAGAGAGACCTGTTTTTGGATTCAAAACAAATTAAATCACCAGGTTGAGGAGGGCAGCCATGGATGGGGGAGAGGCTCTACAGAAAAACAAGCCCCTCACTCACTGATGTGGACTGGGAGAATAGGTATTGCAGTTTGAGAAAGAAAGTCAGCAGGAGCTTTAAATTCCCTGCCCTGCCTGATATCAAGACCTCACTTCTCTCTGTGAATCCATCCCTAGAAACCCTACAGTTACTGGAGGGGTGAGGACAATGCCTTAACAGGCCCCTCCAATCTTGATTCAAGGTTGGGAAGGACAGGGGGCCACTGGGCTCTCTGCAGGGGCTATTGAGAGTATTCACGGTTGCCTCACCATTTCGGGGAGAGAATGCAAGACTTCAAATTATTTTCCCAAAGACTTTTTTGTCTCAAGGATCTTAGCAGAACTGGGAAACGCTCATCCTGCAATTACGCATGGGAAGGCATGTGTTTTACAGAGAATGAGCTAGGGGTGCCGTAGGCAGCGGGAGCCGTAAGGGCATTAATAGCCCTCACTGAGCCACCACAGACCCTACTCACTAGCTCTCACTCATTCATCCAGGAAGCTGGTTATCAGATTTCCATTCTGCATGTGAAGTGGTAAAGGGTGGAATGGGCGGATTCATCACTAATGGTCACACAGACAGGGAGCTGATCGGCCTCCCAAACCCACACTTTCAAAGAGTTGACCCATTTGGGTTTGTTCATCTTCAAACAGGACCGGGCAGGGTGAGCATCAGAACGGTGGATGGCCGGGCGTGGACCTGTGTGACCTGTGCTGTTTCTTCACTGAATCCTCCTTTTCACCAATTTCTTCATCAAGAACACGTTGCCCTCCAAGCCAGAAAACTGAGCTGCAGTGGAGCCTGATAGCAGCGGCGTAAAGCGTCCTGGTGGCTTCAAGTAAGCGATCGTATGTGTCAGGAAAAAGGGGAATGAATGAGTCAAACTGAGTCCGACAGAGCCTGGACACCTGTTGCTTTTCTGTTTCCTATTTCTGGTCACATATTCTTTTTTAAATAATATTTTTATTGACTCTTTGAGCATTTCATACAATATAGTTTGAGCGTGTTCAGACACCCTCCCCCATCTCCTCTCAGATCCATCTCCACTCCACTCCCATTTCATACTCTCTATTTTTTAGGGCCTAGTGAATCCAATTTGTGTTTCTCCAATACTCTTTGAGTGTGGATTCATCCTCTGGAGCCTGGTCAACTCACCCAGCATCACACCTTTAAAGAAAACTGACTCTCCCTCTCCCAGCAGCCATTAACTGCCAGTAGAGCCTTTGCAAGGGCTGGGGCTTCATACTCACCTGCCCCCTTCATGCTGTTTTTTGTGCAGCTTGAGCTTGTGCAGGCCTTGTGCATGCTGTCACAGGCATTATGAGTTCATATGTACCACTACCCTGTTTGCCATCTTACTTTATTTTTACTTGATTGTTATGAGCTAAACATCTCTTCCTACATTTGAGGGACAAAAGCCATACCTGGGCACATCACAAAGCAAAAGGCTTAATTTGGAGAGCTGTGGATGTGGATCAGTTGGTAGAGTGCTTGTCTAACATGCATGAAACCCTTAATTCCATCTCCACCAGTCCCCTATCATCCCAGCAGTTCAGAGGGGCAGATGGATCAGGCCTGTTCAAGATCATTCTCAGCTACATAGGGACTTTGCTGCAAATATAAATAACAGATAGATGATAGATAGATAGATAGATAGATAGATAGATAGATAGATAGATAGATAGATGATAGATAGATAGACAAGTGGGAGTTGTTTTCGGCTCAGTAGGAATGTGGCATTTGGTTAGTGATCATTTTTATAAAGGAATTAAGTTGATTTACCCTAGTGTCTGTGTTCTCAGCCTGTTCCAATGAACCCGTGGGCTGTGTCAAGATTCTGCCCATGTTGAATGAGCAAGGGTTCTGAAATGGATGTCCTTCAGTGTGGTAGACACTGGTCCCCCATAACCACAGATTCCCTACCCTCAGATTCAACAAAACATAGAGCAAAATTAATCAGGAAAATTGTCATCCATTCTGATCAGCTATGGACTATTCCTTGCCAGGACTCCTTACACAGTGCATTGTGGATCTCTGTCTACAATATTTATAATGTACTGAGTATTATAAGTATTACAAGTAACCTCATGATGGGTTAAGGCTATGGGAGAATGCAAGTAGGTGGTATATAACCACTATACACCTTACAGAAGGGACTTGAGTGTTCATAGCTTGGAATTAGTGTGGGTCCTGGAGCTAGTCCCCATGGATTCCGAGAGATGACTCTAACCCTTAAATCATGTTTCTGATAATTAGGGAGCTTCAAGAGAAAAACATGAGACTAAAAGAGGCTGAGAGATTAAGGACAGAGGGGACAGGGAGACAAGTATAATTGTTGGATCAGGATGCGTCCCCTTTCCCTGAGACCACGTCTGGTTGGGCTCATCAGCATGATGCTGAACTGGAAGAGCTCTGCCCCAGCCTCCCAGTTTCCAGTGTGTGTGTGTGTGTGTGTGTGTGTGTGTGTGTGTGTGTGTGTGTGTGTATGTGTGTGTGAGATGGTGTGGGACAGGGGCCTCTCATTACCAGTGCAGATGTGTCCTGTGCACCCTTGAGTGGCAAAGGCAGAACCCTTCTGTTTTTTTTTCAAATTCCACATTTATTTATTTATTGAACACAACTATTATGAGGGGGGGAGAGAATGGAGACAGTGGGGGGTGAACAAAATGATAATGTTCACAGTCCTCTTGATTTTGTTTCGCAGATCAAGAACTCTTCTAACGGGGAGGGAGAGGCTGAATCTACCTCCCTGACCTTTACTATGCATGCCGCAGAGGTCCCCTTTTGGCTCTTCCCCTCCCTGCGCAAATTCAATGTGAATCCAGAAAAGCAAAGACTTTTCAGAGGTGTCTGCAGGGAACTTAGGGCCTAAGTCCAGGTCATCTAGGGTTGATCACAGGAGACCCTCCCTTAGGAGACTCGGGATGAGGAAGCAAAGCCCACATACAACCAGTATCAGGGTACTTGCTTCTGACAGCCTCAGGTGTAATCATAGGTGGTCAAAGAGCAGCCCTTCAAATCCAAAGAAGCAGTTCAGTCTGTCTTGCCTTATAGTGTCAGGTAGGGTACCTGTCCTCCCAGGGACAGAGATGATCCCTGAGTGAGGTGGACTCTGAGCCTCTGTACCCTGTCCTGTTGTAGAGTGGCTCCCATGGACTTTCACCTCTGGGCCCTCTTCCCTTGAACAGGCTCAGCTCATGGGCTCAGGTTAAACTTCATCTGATGTAATACTTTGTGTCATCAATATCCTCTCTCTCAGCTGGAGCAGTGCTAAAGGGAAAGAGAGCTGACCAAATCTCCCAAATCCTCCTCATGCTGAGCAAACAGATGGTTCTGGGGATTCTAGAGACTGAGGGGAGACACTCTAGCCATGGAGGGGCAGGAAGACCCAGGCCTCTTCTTGATACCCCGGTAAGTCAGTTGCCTAGGCCTCAGGTTCCTCATTTTAAAGTGGGACTGGGGGAGGGGCTCCTACCACCCTCGGGTGCTGTCAAGGACCAAAGGAAGCCACCAAGCAGAATCCCTTCTTGGATCTATGTGCTGTGGCGTTCCTGTTAGTATAGGTCCTGGCAACTCATAGTCACTTCAAAGGGATCAAATGGCCATTTTTCTTAGTCTTGATTTTCTGGCATCTGGCTGTAAACAAAACTTAACCTCTTCTCTGGGTTTCTGTGACTTTGGAGGAACTCCTGGCCTGTTTGGAGCTTTGAATTCTCTTGTCAAATGATAACCACCTGTTTCACAAAAGATTCTTGAATGCCCAGTGTGACTCTGTATGGAGCATTTAGTAAGTTCCAAAGCTCTCTATTTTATGTGAGTGACGGGAACCTCACATTTAGAGCTGGGGGTCTCCAAGCCAGGGTCTGAGGCACAGGGGTCTGAGGACATTTGAAGGTTAGGCAAGTGCCTTCCTCCCTAGGATAGTGAAGTTTTGTTCCAGTCTGTCCCTTGTGCTCCCAAATTCCCGGAATTTCATTTTTGTGTGTGATTTTGTGGAAGTTTTTTTCCTATGCAGTAGTTGCTTGTTTTACTTTGAATAGAATAAATATAGTCTAAATAAATGAGTCTCCCAACATAAACTATATTGATTTATTTTAATTAACTTTAGTTTTTGACAATTTCATACTTGTATACAACGCACTGTGATCATATTCACCCCCACATGCCTCTCCCCCCAGCACAAGCCCTTCCTTCCCTGCTAGCGCCTCCCACCCTTTTGCTCCTCTCTTCCTTTCTTTCTCTTCTTTTGGGGTGGTGGTGGCAGGTTTTGTGCAGATGGTCACAGCTGCTGCATGCTCATGATTGTGAAAACCAGGTAACGTGTGAAAGACACAGTCCTTCCATCTGCTCTTCTGTGACATTCTCTGGGCCTCATGGAGGGAGTGGCACAGATGCCCCATTTAGTGCTGAGCACTCAACAGTCACCTGCTCTCAGTACTCTGTCCCCTCTGCGACAATCATCACTGTCAGAAGAGGCTTCTCTGATCAGCCCGAGAGGTGCCTTAGTCTGTGGGGATAAACATAAACATTTAAAAGGCTATTTGACTCCACATCCACAGAATCTTTTTGTCCAAAATATGTACATAAAGAACCCATTTCCAGAGCTAGAGAGACTGCTCAGTGGTTAAGAGTACTTGCAGCTCTACCAAAGGACCTGAGTTTGGTTTCTAGCACCAATGTTGGTGACTTGTAACTCCAGCTCCAGGGATCTGATGCTCTCTTTTAGACTCTGAGGGCACCCACACACGTGTGGCATATACTTACACAGACACACATGTACACATAAATTAAAAAAAAACTTTAAAAAGCATTTTTTTCTATTTCAGGATTATTTTTACATAAACTTGAAGATGGAAATTGATCTGAGAATTGATTATATTTGAGTGCATATATGAAATATGGAATTTGAGATTTCATATAATGCATGACACAAATTATGCATACAACCTTATTCTGTCACTCCCTGCACTTATGGGGCTTCCTTTCTGTGCAAGGTAGGGTACCACCTTGGGAACAAACCCTAGATTTTTATCCTAAAAGTCTGTTGTTGGCATCCTGGTCCTATCTGTTATTAGATGTAAGATGTTGGACAATTTACCATCATTTATAGATTCTAAGGCAATATTTTAAAAAATATTTTAACAATGCAAATGGGATATGCCTTACAATGGATGGTGTCTTCCAATTAGAATTGTCAGCCTATTTTTCTCTCTGCCTTACATAAAGCAATATTGCATATTACTACAATGGATGCAGTTTGCATTTGATGAAATCCAGTATCTACCCTTTCTGAATTTCAATTCCCATCTCTGAAAATGAAAAAACCGCTAACATACCATGGTTGAGGATTACAGTAATTAATGGATTTAGTAGATTTCCTAGGATGGGCACTCAATAAAAAACATGCTGTTATAATCGTCATACTAACTTATTAATACCAGCTATGGTTTCAAGTGGAGATGTTGCGTTGGTGATGCTTAGTTCCCTTATGTAGACGAAAATATCTAGACTAATGAGGTGGGTTATTTACTCAAGGCCAAGCCTGATTTCAAATACAGCATCTACCTGCTTTCAGACTTTGCTTTTCAGACTCCAGTAAAGCTACTGTGCCCTATGAAGATACATCCCGTCCATGAAGTTACTCACATACGATGCAAAGCCCATTGTTCACAATCCACAAATCTGTGCTCCTTGCTTCTCTGGAACAAGAGAGGAGTGACTGGGGTTTCCCAGGCCCTGCAAACCCCTCATTACTTGCTAAGGGCTCTGTGCAGAATGAGGATATTTATTTCCTGGTACCTCCAAATGCTGTGGTTATTTAATCACCCCAGATACCTCCCAGTAATCACTCTGAATTGCATTATGCAAGTCAGCAAATCCCACTCACTTTAATATACATGAGGAAGAGGGGTGGATATTTCTCACTGAAGGTTTTATGGAAAATTTTGCATTTATTGATTTTCCCCTTAAATCTTGTTCTTTAAAAACACTCCCTTATACACACATGCACACACACATATATATGACGAAAATGATTGCTATGGCCATGTTTGTTCAACCTAACAAAAATGTAGCATATTGACAACATTATCTGTCATCCCCACATTTCACCTGGAGTAGAAAACTGTTTGATCTCAAAAGCCTGCAGACTACATCAGTTCACAGGGCTATCTTTTATTCATGCACATTAAAATAAAGACAACCATATGCAAGGGTGTCTACAACTCAGAAGGAGGAAAAATTGAAGCAGGGTTCTGTGTGCTGAGTACTGCATGCTGACTGGACCAGCTGTGGTCTCCCCACTGGCCTTCCTGCATTTCCCTTGGTCCATGATGTTGTCAAGACCATCATTTTTCCCAGGACAAGACTAGAAAAAGATGTCTTCCTTGCAGTTTTCCCTGAACTCCAATTCTTTTTTAAAAAATATTTTATTATTTTTATTTTATGTGTATGAGTGTATTGCCTGCATGTGTGTAAGTGCACCCATGTCGTGCAAAGCCTCCAGAGGTCAGAAGAGGGCATTGGATCCCCTGGAACTTGGAACTGGAGGTGTTTGTGGAATTGAACCCATGTCCTCTGCAAGAGCAGCCAGTGCTCTTAACCACTGAGCCATCTCTTCAGCCCCCGAGGTCCAGATTCTTAAAGAGATCATGAAAATATGTGTGTGTGTGTGTGTGTGTGTGTGTGTGTGTATGTGTGTGTGTGTGTGTGTGTGTAGCTCTTTAGATTTCTGTTTTCAGGGACATGAGAATCAAAGTCCTGACTGTTCAGGAGTTTGCAAGGACTAAATGATAACAGGAAGGACATACACAAAGGTGATAGCACAGTGCTGGGCACAGGTCCAGGCACTTTTGTTTGATCTCAATGTTTTGGATTTGTGCTCCCATCATGAGGAAATAGTGGCATTAAGTGGCACTCTGGTGATAGATTTCAGTGTACTGTGCAAACTATAAAGTACCCGGCCATCTCACCTGAGCGTTATCTACTGCCGTTGTTTGTTCTTTTATCTCTGCAATCTTGGGCATCAAAGGCAGTGCCTGCCTGTGGCCTGTCTTGGCATAATGTATGCCACATGCCAATTCCATGTCTGAGGTCCTCTGGGAGGCAGCTGGTCCTGGTATAACCCCAGGACTTCTGAATCATAGGACTGTGTTCATGTCCCTACCTTGGGGTACTTGGATTCATGTGGCCAGTGAGATGGAAGACCTGAATTGTTTATTTCCTTTGGTCTCCTTTAAGAGGAGACGGCACTGGAACATTCCCTGAAGACCATCCTGCTTTGTGCTGTGACTTCTGCTCACAGCACATCCGGCACATGACGACCTCTTACGTTTATGCTGCCTACCAGCTGTTTCTAGGCACGTCAGTCATTCCAACTTTAATATGAATGTTATTTAAAGTCTCTTTAGGGGTTTGGCCTTTCTAGTCTGGTAAGCTAAAACTATGTAAACCTTGTCATTCACAGAGTCCTGCAAGTTAGCTTTTAAAATATTATTTTTATTTTATGTATATGAGTATATTGTCTGAATGTATGTAAGTGCACTTGTGTCATGCAATGCCATTGGAAGTCAGAAGAGGGTGTTGGATCCCCTGGGACTGGAGCTACAGATGATTCTTAACCACCATATGGGTACTGGGAACTAAACCCAGGTCCTCTGCAAGAGCAGCCAGTGCTTTTAACTACTAAGCCATCTCTCTAGCCCCTGGGTTTTTTTTTTTTTTTTTAACATTCTCACAGAACACGTGTATGTCATGGACATTATGTTCGTAGAGCAGTGGCAGCTCGTTACTTGAGAGGTCATCCAACTGGTAAAGAGAGGAAATCTAAGGTGAGAGGGATATCTGTGTTGACTAATTTTTGCACCTTGCTACCCCATTTCCCTCTTCATGTTCAACACCAAATAGAAGACACATATCCCCTCTGATCAGCGAGGGGATTGGGGAAGGAGCTGTGATAGTGGCTATGAGACCAAAATGACATCTTAACCCAGGAGGAAGCTTAGTACCAACTTGCTGTGAAGGTGACTTGGGTTCTTGGTCTTGAGGAAACCCTACTTTCCTCTTCTTTCTGAAGTTGAAATGGCCTCCCGGTTGCTGCATGCTGGCTTAATGCACTTCTGTTTCCTTTACTGAGCACAAGTGATGCCTCTATTCAATGACAAGACGTCTGAATAAACACAGAACGAAGACCAGGACCCACCTGTCCTCAGATGGAGCTTACAGTCTATGGGAAGGAAAGGCATAAGTTCTAATGGAATGAATAGGGTGTGAAGGTTCAGCCGAGGTGAGAGCAAAGTCTTGCAGGATAAGGTGATGCCCAGAGCCCAGAGTTACTCACATGTGTAATTTTACTTAGTTATTGAAAGACGATAAGGGCTCTCCAGAGAGAATAGGACTAATATGGATTCTCA